GCAGGAGTATACCGGATACCTTGCAGTTGTGGCCAGGTATATATTGGAACCACAAAACGAAGCATCCACACCAGAATCAAAGAACATGAGAGACACTGCAGACTAAAACAACCAGAAAAATCTGCAGTAGCTGAACATGCCCTGAAACAAGCTGGACATTAAATTCTATTTCAAAATACTGAAATACTGGACAACACCAGCAATCATTACGTCAGACTGCACAGGGAAGCCATTGAAATCCACAAGCACAAGCACAGTTTCAACAAAAAAGAGGAAAGTATGAAGCTCAACAAAACTTGGCTCCCAGCTATCAAACATACTACATGCAAAAGGTCAACGAACTCTACCCACCCACAAGGACAGGGGATCACTACACACAAAAGACCAGCTAATGACACCCATCAACCATAGGAACAGATAATCTCTTCCCCTTAGCACAACAATACACCCACAACAATACACACTAATCACTCATCTACAGAAAAAGACAAAAGCCTGTCTCACAGCTATAAATACTGCACTCCCAAGCCAACTAGACCAGAGCACAGGTTGCTGTCCTCTGAAGATGCTGGCCACAGAGACTGGCGAAACGTCAGGAAGAACAACCTTCAGAACATGGCCAAAGAGCCCGAAAAACCCAGAACAACCACTGGTCCACCTTCTTCTTAAATAACATATGTGCCACTTTTCAAACTTTTGAAGGTGCTATATATACACAACATACATATTTTTACTGCATTGCAGATTTTTGCAGTGGCTACTCAGTGTGCTCAGACTTCATTAGTCGGGCAGTCATGTGGTTTATCTACTGGTCCGCATATGTTTCTAAAGTGTTTAGTCCTTCTGCGGACATCAGAGTTGATACACTGGGGCTAATGGTTCTGTAATCCTGACAGTGATATCAAGCCCTGCTTGGTACTCTCCTCTTTTTTCATATTGATGCTGTTGGGTTTGCGACAAAAGGATTTGGAGTAGGAAGAGGTGTGCATGTACCTGTGTATGTAAAAATTGGTTGTTTTGAAGATGATTGATGAAGCGGTGCCACCTGCTGGGCAGCCAAGGCTTTGGAAAAGAAAACATCACAAAAATCCACTTTGTGAGGAGAATGCGATCAATCTTCCTAGTCTTTGCCACACACCACCTTCTTGATATTGCATTACCAGGGCTTGTGTGTGTAGACATATTTCTTGGTGCTCTGATCCATCATGGATTCATTCTGTTTGTAATGTATTTCTAAACCAAGAAATCCCCAGCCATTTGATGCAAAGCGTCATTAAAAGCACAGGCACTGCTGTTTCACAGTACACTCTTACAGTGTTCTGTCCCAGAACTAGCATGCTTATTTTTTGATGTTTTAACAATAGAAGCCACATGCCCTATGTTGCACAATATAATGTTCCCTTTTTTTTGAGGACATGAAAGGAGTCAGAATGCATTCACAAAACCACTGTTATTACTGTACATTTCGTAGCTGTTGGAAAGGAAGAAGTCATATTTGTGAATGAGTCAGACAGGGCAGTTTAACAGAGAGGGCAAAGCCGAGCAGAGTCTCAAGTATCAGCAGCTCTTTTGGAGCTGTGGAGTAGTACATCCTCATTACTTATCACAGGGAGTGTAACCTATAGAACATACACATTTTGATGGGACACATGGCATGTGTGTATTAAACCCAAGCATGCCATTCTTGCCCTACATATTTTAGATGAGGGTAAGGCTCTAATAACAAGTTAACCTACAGCAGCATGACTGTATGGTGTGATGTACTCATTGCTTGAGAACCTAGGTGTCTAGTTTCTCCCAAGGTGTAGCTTATTCAGAGGTTTGTGTGAAATGGGCCAGTTCACAAATTGCTGTTTGGATTTCTTAAGAGAGAGGGAGAGAGAGAGAGAGAGAGAGAACAAATGTACTGAGCTAGAACCAGTCAGATCCTAACTTGAAAACATGACTTGTTTTCTGTTGATTCCTTTTTGGAAAGGAGATGGTTGCTTGGGAATGACAGGTATTGTTGTGGCTGATTCTTACATTGTTAACAGCATACTTTTGAATGCAAAAGTGCTACACACTGTCTAGACATTCCTAGAACTTGTCTACAGGAATGGTCTACTGCAGTCTAAATACAGTTATATTGCTGTTGCCAAGAGAATGTGAGGTTCATCCCAAAGTTGTATTCTCTTTCCCCTCAAAGGCTCCTTTTCAAAAGGCATTGCAGAAGGAGAAGTGGACCCTTCCTTTGGGCCTCTGGAAGCAATACGTCTCACTATCCAGACTGACTCGCCTGTGTGGATCATCTTGAGTGAGGTAAGGTGCTTTCCTGGAGGAGCAGCTCCTTACAGGTGTTGACAGCAACAGCTCTCATCTGCCATCTCTTCCACCAAACTTGTCTGGGCAGATTCCTTACTGTCCAATTGCACTGGGAACAGGAGTCCTTAAGTAGTGTGGAACACTCTAACAAAGAGCATTCTCTTACATCTCCTTCCACTGTGTGAGTTATGGGCCATCAAGTTGTTTCCAGTTTATGGTTACCTTATGCATTAATACCTCCATAAGGTCCTATCATTAACAACTCTGTACAAACTCAAGTGTGTTATCTCCCTTAGTAAGTGAATCCGCTTCATATTCAGTCTTTTTTTTCCTGCTGCCTTCAGATTTTCCCAACATTGTTGTCTTTCTGAGTGAATTTTCTCATGATATGCCCAATATACAACAGCATCAATTTAGTCATTCTAGCTTCTAGTGAAAGTTCAGGCTTGATTTGATCTAGAACCCATGTATTTGTCTTTTTGACAGTACATGGCATAAGAACATAAGAAGAAACTTGCTGGATCAGGCCAAGGGCCTGTCTAGTCCAGCTTCCTGTATCTCACAGTGGCCCCACCAGATGCCTCTGAGAGCACACGAAATAACTAGATACCTGTCTCCTGATACCCCTCCCCTGTATCTGGCATTTGAAGGTACTGTACCTTCCTTCTAAGCCTGGAAATTATACATCCCCATCATGGCTTGTAACCTGCTATTGACTTTTCCTCCAGAAATCTGTCCAATCCCCTTTTCAAGGCATCTTGATGCCATCACCACATTCTGTGGCAAGGAGTTCTATAGACTAATAACATGTTGGGTAAAGAAATATTTTCTTCTGTCTATTCTCACTCCGTCACTCATCCACCAGTTTGAGTGGATGGCCCCTGGTTCTAGTAATGCATGAGAGGAAAAGAAATTCGCTCTATTCACTTTATCCATCCCCTTTATAATTTTATACCTTTCAGTCAGGTCCCCCCTCATGGCATCTGTAAGATTGCCCTCTAACACATTTCCAATGGCTCCGTTTCCCCCCCACACCAAGTTTTCATGTCCAGTAACACAGCCTTAATGATCATCCCACACAATATGGCCTGACTCAGGGCTGGTCCTTCCATTTGACAGATTGAAGCAGCAGCTTCAGGCAGTAGATTTGGAGGGGTCATGAACGTTCAACTGATTCTTATGCATTTGATTCTTGTTGTATGGCTGATACAGTAGAGAAATAGGTGACTTTGGCATTTTGAAGTGTCAGAAAAAAAACAGAATGGCTGTAAGTAATGCGTACCAGTGCGAGAGGGATCAACTCCTTTGCCTCAGGCAGCAAAATGACTTCTGCCAGCCTTGCCTTCACTACAATGTTAGCTTCATTCATTTTTTATCTAATATTGAATATGTATACTGCCCCATTAGTGCAGTATAAATGAGCATCAGAACCTTGAACCTGACCAGGGATGCAACAGATAACCAGTGCGAGCAAGCCAGGAGTGGGGAGATGTGATCAAACTTGTTCACACCAGCCACCAGTCTTGGTGCTCATTTTGGATCTGCTGTAGTCTCCAGATCAGCCTAAAGGGAAGCCCCACATAGAGAACGTTACAGTAGTCAATCTGGGAAATGACCAACACCTGCACCAGCATTCTGAGGGCACCCTCCTCACCACCTCCCAGTTTTCAGGGCAAAGTGTCCACTATCTGTTCTCTCCTGACAGTATACCACCCCGCTGCAGTTTTCTAGTTTTTTAGGAATGGTCCCCTGGAATGCTTCAAATAGCATTGCACAAGGACAATGTAGGGCATTTAAATGATGGCTGGGTGGCTGGCATTCATTGCTGGGGGGCCTGAGCAGGTGTCAGAGACTTCAGAAGACTTTGGCCTGGCTTTCCTCAGTGTCTTAAAAGATGTAATTCTCTTGGGATGATCAGAAATTGCATTGGTGTAGTTGGGGATGGAGAAAGATTCTGCATCCCCAACTGCCAAATAGGAACAGGGTTTTGTAGGCAGTATTTGCATCTGTTTTAAGGATTTGTGCAAGCTGCATTCTTTATGACTAATTCTGAAATCCTTCCTCGCCACCTGAAACACCTGCATGTTATGATGGGCCTGAAGTGATCTTCTGTTGAGGAAATCACTGGCAATGGTGCGGCTAAAAAATATTGTAAATAAATAAATAAATAAATCAAGTTTTATCTCTTGAAGTTTGCTTTAAGGCAGAGATGTCCCATACTAGTGGTAAGAAATTGCCTTCACTGCTTGGTAGACTACAGATCTCATCATCCTTGAACATTATCTGTACCCAGTTGGAGCTGAAGGGACTTCACATCCAGAAACATCGGGGGGGGGGGCTAGGGTTTTCCCATACTCCTGCTCTGAAGCAACAAGCAGTAAAAAATAGTTTTCTGATACTTTATTTGCTTACTTTCAGATATTCCTGAAGAAAGCGGATTGAACTTTCAGAGCAATGTGTCTATCCACTCTTCCCCTCTTCTTCCTCTCTTCTGCGAAACTGCAGAACATGGCAGAACCTGAGCAGCTGATTCCTGAGGTAAAGGTGGGTTGCCCACGAAAGGGCACCTGCTGCTCCAAGAACAGGAAGAAAAAGGTGGCAGGGAAAACTGGGCAGGGTCTTGGTGTTTCCTGGCTGCACTTTCTGGGAGAAGAGAAGCATTTTTCACAGAGACCCATGGCTGCTGGACTGAATAAGAAGCAGCAGCCCCCGTGTTGGTCTCTCATGGACTCGGCTGCCTTTGCAGCTGCAGAGTGAGAACTGAGGAGATGAACTTCCCATGTAAAAGATCCGGAGGGTTTTGAACTCTTGAGCAATTCCCACACCTTTCCCTCTCCACCCTACCCCTGAGTGCTGATGCCTGAATGTATCATTCAAGGGTGCATTTAGTAATACGGGTTGAAGGAGCGTTAAGGCTAAAGCTAGAGGGCAACCTGATTGTCCAGCTCTTACCAGCTGTGGAGGAGCACTGAGGTGTCGAGCAAGAAAAGCAGTCACACCTCCAGGCCTTCTGTAAGTACAAGTGGTTGCTTCAGGCCACAACTGAGGATTAAACACGAAAGAACGCATTTGCAGATTGGGGAAAGAGGGTGCTGGGTGGAGGTGACAGAATGGCAGGGATACTAATAATACCACACTGTGCCTGCCAGGGCTGTTCATGTCCCCTTCATACAATACAATACAGTTTCATGCTGAAGTTGCCAGTGTCTTCATGCCTCAAGAATGAGTGCAGAGCCCTTCCTTTTAAATCCATATCTCTGTTATTTACTGGTTGGTGTGAATTTTGAAGAAAAAAATTGTAGGGCAGTTCTCAAATGGTAGGGATTAGAGTGTAATTTAAAATAAAAACCCAATGTCTCTAGTTATACACTGGAATGCATTATACTACTTTAATGTGCTGTATTTTTTATTATTGGATACATTTGATTTTTTCAAGTATATCTATATATATAATATATATATATATATAATATATATGTGCACTGTATAATTTTAATTCTATTTAAGGACTTGTGTTTTGTTTTATTAGCTCTCCTCTGAAGTGGGAAAGCCTGACCAACTGGAAGTGTTTTACTAGGGCAGCTGTTAGAAATGTGTGATTGGCGTGCCTTTTTTCAGGAAGATACAAGCCTAGCCAAGATAGATGTGGTAATAGGCAAGATTTCTATTTAAACCAAGACAGACAGCCACTTCCTCTGTATGGTGAAGACAGTGCAGTAGACCAGCACGGACTATTTTCAGAATGGGTGTTGTGCACTCTTTTGCCACAGATGTTAGAATGTTTTCATCAGAAGCATCCACCAAGAATCAAAACGGGGTTGGGGGGGCCGCCTGCCCCTAACAAAGATGAATGTTATAATTCATCTTCATCTTCTGTATGTCATGAAGAGGGCAATATATACTTCCCATTTATTTTCTCCTGGGACAGATTCCTCCTGTCGACTGGTTGAAGACACTGTGCAAAATGGAGATAGGGCAATTTATACACCTGCCCGAATGCAGACCAGTGTAGTGTAGTGGCCAAGTGCAACTCGGTTAAGCTTTCCTGCTTGGCAGAGCAGAAAACGGCATGCCCCTCCCACCAACCTGAACAACGACTTGGCAAGCTGCTTCAGAAAACAAACACAGACCTTTGATACAATCTCTGCTTCTGGGTTGGATGCAGGTTTGGTGTTTCCCTGCATGCTTTCTCAAGGTGATGGAATTGGGTGGAGGCTGTTGGTCCCAAGACGCCTGAAACAAAACCTCTTTTTCCTCTCTCTTGTAGTGTGGCCAAGAACTGTGGAAAATCTCATCAAATGGTTTCTATGCTTTGATCCTTCATGTCACAGTAGTTTTAAGGCAAAGACATTGCAACAGTTGTAAAACTCATAGTAGCCACCCAGAAGTGTAAGATATGTTAAAGCTTTAGCTCATGGCTGTAAAACAATTACATAATTTCAAAGATCTGTCCCGTGCTTCCATGGAGAGCTGCTAATGTTGTACAAAGCAGCTTCACAAAAAAGATGTCCAAAGAAAAAAGCCAGAAGGAAATCTCTAAGGGATTTGGAGTAGCAGTATAAAGAAGCTATAAAAAGGGTAGCAAACCTGAGGCCCTCCAGGTGATGTTGGACTACAGTTCCCATCAGCCCTGAGCAGCATAGCAAAGAATGAAGGATAAAAGCCTTTTCAGTCCAGCAACTTCTGAAGGGCTGTATTTTCTCTACCCTTGAGTGGTTGTATAGACCAGATGGGCGGGATATAAATCAAATCAAATCAATCAATCAATCAATCAATCAATAAACAAACAAACAAACAGAGGCAATTTCACTAAATTAGATATTAACTGTATAGTGGCCAATTCCAGGTTAGGATAAGTACACGGATCTAAATCTTGTTTGTTCCTATGCCCCCGTCTTAGTGCATGCAAGCACTGATGAGAACAAGGAAAAGTAGCATCTACCAGGAGCCACATAAGTGACCCATAGGGAGAAGGGACTGAATGGTGACATGATTCCACAGGGGAGGGTATCTTACCCAAAGTGCCTCCCCCCCCCCGCCCACACACCAATAATAGATACCCAGAATGTTTCTCCACTGTTGCTCAGGCTTCTGACTTGTGGAAATAACTCTGTTAATGATAGAATCATAGAACTATAGATATGGGAAGAGCACTTTACCATCTTGGTTGACTTCCTTCAGACATATTCCAGCTTTTTAATATCCCTTTTGAACTATGGCAGCCACAGTTAAATATTAAATCTAAACAGTTCTCTTTTCTAACATCAGATGCTGATCCAATAATATTTTTGAGGTGAAATCCATAGCAATAGTAACATGAGTCAGGAAAAATATTGCACATAATTTATTTTAAATGATCAGTATATAGCTATTGTGACGAGAAAGGAAAAGTTGAAAACGGTGGTACAATATCAAAGAAAGTTTACCATTGGGACTGTGTACTTAAGTGACTGCAAAGCTGGAATCAAAAATACAAGAGTGACACAAAATGGGTGGTGAGGCCAACCACAGACAAAACAATGAGAATGCAGAGAACTCCAGTGCTGAAGTACATGGGGCCCAGTCTGTGTGAAAAGAACAAAAGATGTTACCATTAGTTCAGGTGGTTAGCTGTGACATTGGTTACAAGATTCTGTTTGCTTTTTAAAAAAATCCGTGTTAACATTAATAGGTTTGACATGACAGCTAATTTGTGTTAGGAGCTGTTGGACTAAAGATTCAGTTGTGAGAGCGGTTAAATGGAAAATGTGAGAGGACAGGAAGATGTCCAACTATCAACCTAATTTTTAAGATATGTTAAAGGAATGACCTAAATTGCCTGTGGCTTCAATTAATTTGTTCATTGGTTTTCAACCATTAGGAGTATAAAGGGATAACATAGGCCACTGGGTCAACTAATTCAGTGCCAACTGTTACAACAGAAGAAACAACCTAAAGAAGTGTTGCTTTCGAAACTGATGTGTTCATGAGCACATGGGAGGGGTTTCAGTTAAAAGAAAGATACTCCTCCCCTCAAACATTGGAATAATTGAAATACTAGGACTTCTGTAATAACAGTTTTGGAACTGGCAAGCATCATATGGATTGCAGTCCTAGGCACACCTACTGTGCAGAACGTATATGAGCAAGTATGCAGAGATTGTACTATTCATTTATTTTATATAAGGACTGAGACCAAGAAAATTGAGAGAGATTCATACAAGGCAATATTACTATGCTTAGCTATGCTCCAATATCGTCGTTATGTGCCATCAAATCACTCATTTATGATGATCCTGAGAAGGTTTTCAAGGAGTGGTTTGATCGTTCCCGCAGTAAGCTTCCATGGTTGAGCAGAGATTTGAACCCACATGTCCTAGTACATTATTCTGGCCACTACACCACACTTGTTCTCTGGCACCAATATAAGGCAATAAAAACCAAGCTCCTTTTAGCTGCATTTTTCCAGCTGATCTCTTATACTGCAACATTGCTCAAATGTAAATAGAACACTATTTCTTTCCACTTTTCTTTCCTCTTATATTGTTTTCTATTACTTTCCTGTCTCTTTTCTCCCAACATATTTCCATTTAACTCAACCTGTTGTTTTACCTATTAAGGTTTTACTTGTTAGGGTTTTTTGAGCTTCTTTCACCATTCTAATGACAAAGCCAAAGGAAAACTTCAGAATAGCCTTCCAGGTAGATGGAAGCCTATAGAACTGAACACCAGGAGCCATGTGTGGATTGCTTGGACCTGGGAGACTCTTATTTAGCTCTTCCAATTTCTTGGTCATTCTCTCATATCTTTAAAAAAAAAAGCCAACCATAAAGCCCCTCCCACCCACCAGAAAAACAAAAGCCTGTGGTTTGTCATAGCTGACATCACAGCAAAGGACTAATCCGCATGATGTATTCTGCATATAGGTTAAATAAGCCGGGGGACAATATACAGCCTTGTTGTACTCCTTTCCCAATTATGAACCAATCACTTGTTCCATATCCAGTTCTAACTGTTGCTTCCTGTCCCACATATAGGTTTCTCAGGAGGTAGATAAAGTGGTCAGGCACTCCCATTTCTTTAAGGACTTGCCATAGTTTGCTGTGGTCCACACAGTCAAAGGCTTTTGCATAGTCAATGAAGCAGAAGTAAATATTTTTCTGGAACTCTCTGGCTTTCTCCATAATCCAGCGCATGTTAGCAATTTGGTCTCTAGTTCCTCTGCCCCTTCGGAATCCAGCTTGTACTTCTGGGAGTTCTCGGTCCACATACTGCTGAAGCCTATCTTGTAGGATTTTGAGCATAACCTTGCTAGCGTGTGAAATGAGTGCAATTGTACGGTAGCTGGAGCATTCTTTGGCACTGCCTTCCTTTGGGATTGGATATAGACTGATCTTTTCCAATCCTCTGGCCACTGTTGAGTTTTCCAAACTTGCTGGCATATTGAATGTAGCACCTTAACAGCATCATCTTTTAAGATTTTAAATAGTTCAACTGGAATGTCATCACCTCCACTGCCTTGTTGTTAGCAAGGCTTTCTAAGGCCCACTTGACTTCACTCTCCAGGATGTCTGGCTCAAGGTCAGCA